CAGCTCCAGGTTGAGCTGTTGTTCAGCATCTTAGCTGTGGAGGGCAGTGTCACTGGCCTTCATATGTGGGATCCGAACCGGGGCCCTCTGGTGTCCCAAGCCAGTTCTTAACCATCGTGCCACTCGGCCGGTCCTCAATAATGTTTTAACTGGCTAGTAGAAAATGTTAACTTATGTATAGGATCCACATTCTAGGTTATTGGGCAGCATGGTTTATATTTTAAGAAGCACAGACTATTGCAGATGTCAGGGCCATGGAGCGCATCCTGAGGTTGCACTTTGAGACTGACGCTAGAGAGGGCTAGAGAGGACCAGAGAGGTGCCCCAGGCCACACAGCTGCTGGCAGAGCTGAGTAGTAGTAGGTGTGTGCTATGATCTGCTGCCCTTTCACTTACCCTTTGGCTTCCCTGCGTGCCCTAGCAGGAGAGCCTGCTGTTTCTCACCCCCTTGGGTGTGGGTGTGGGGGGGCACATCATAGAACTTTCCTCAACATAAGTAACCAAGTTTGCTTTCGGTTGAGTCGGCTGAATCAGAGGGTTTCTTGCAGATGTCACTGGGTGTTTTCAGTCTAATTCAGTTGTTTACTGACAATTTCGTGTTCTGTTTGTTTGCTTTCATTTTAGATACATCAGCTATCCAAGAACCGAAACAAACATTTTCCCCAAAGACCTAAACCTGACAGCTCTGGTAGAGCAGCAGACCTCAGATCCACATTGGGGGGCCTTTGCCCGGAGCATTCTGGAGCGGGGTGCCCCCACCCCTCGCAACGGGAACAAGTCCGACCAAGCTCACCCTCCCATCCACCCCACCAAATACACCAGTAGTTTACAGGTTGGTTTCCCTGACCCTGCTGCCTGCTGGAACCCTCAGGGAGGTGAGGGGGTCAGTGGTAGGATTTCAGTTTTCTCTGTGGGCTCTTATTGTAGGAACCAAGTGATTTTGAAATATTGCTTTCATTTCAAAAAAGAGATATCAGGGTCAAAATTCTCCTATTTCACAATCTTCTGCTTGGCTTCCATGAAAGACGCCCATGAGGGGCTCTGTTCTCTCCTCAACCCCACCCAGGTCCCCACTTTGTCAGTTCCCTCTGCTGCCTCGCTGATTCCTACACACTCAAACTAGGCGGCCACCTTCCCTGGCCACCTTCCCCATCCCTTGTCGACTGGAAGAACCCTACTCATCCTCCTAAGACTAGATCAGTTTCCATCACCTACCAAAACTTCACATCACCCTCTTGTCATACTCCAGTCACAGCAGGACTGTCCCACACAACTGTGCTTGGGCGTGTCCCATGTCTCAGTCCTTTTGTCAGCTGGGGAATAAGCTCAGTGAGGCGCAAGCTACAGTAGTTAGGCCTTTTTGACATCTGCAGGCTTATTGCAAAGCTACATAACTTCTGGTTTTCTTTTTCCTTCTTTTAATTACACATATTCTTTCTGATTTTACAAGTAATACATGTTTATTTTAGACAATTTAGAAAATATAAAAGATTTTGAAGAAGAAAAAATTGCCTGTAATCTCACCTCCTACTGAGAACCACCCTTTTTCTATGCATGTATATAATATGCTTACCATGAAATTATAATCTTAGTTTCATAAACTACTTTTTTCATTTTATATCATAAGTATTTCCCCATATGCTGAAATATTTTAAAGTATGGTACTTAATGATTGCATAGATGTACCATAATTTATTTTGCCAAATCTGTTTTGAAGGATTATTTGCAACTTTTTGACCCACAATATACTAAAGTTAACACTTATATACGTAAATATTAGTGTGGATCTCTCACTTTTTCCTTTGAATACATTCTTAGAAGAATAACGAATGGGTATGAGTATGAACAGCTTATGGGCTTTCAATGGATTAAGCCTCATCAAGTGCCTGATGACTGAATTGGTAGGAAATGGCCATGAACCCTGTGTTTATGGTGTCGGTCTAAGGCTGCCAGGTGCATTTTCACTGTGTGTCTTTCACACAAGGGGTGTCTTAACGTCTTATGCTCTCACCTTGTTTCCTGTGTAGGTGGGGTTTATATCACTCTTCAGGGCAAGAGGACTTCCTTGCTTACCTTTGCCTGATTGGAGTTGTGCAGCCTATTAGCCTAAGCTCATAAGTGTGCAGTGGATTTGCCTGGCCCTCCATGTTAGCGCAGGGGCTGCAGGAGCGATGTGCCCCGTTCCGTGCAGAACTTTAGGCTGAAAGATGGCATAAACCATGCTCAACCACCAGTGACGCTGAGATCCGTGAGTGGTAATATTCTGGAGGGAGTTTCAGACTCTTCTTTTCTTCATAGGGAGATGAACAACGACTCTATGAGTTTATCGTTCGCCATTTCCTAGCTTGCTGCTCCCAGGATGCTCAGGGGCAGGAGACCACCGTGGAGATTGACATCGCTCAGGAACGTTTTGTGGCCCATGGCCTCGTGATTCTGGCCCGAAATTATCTGGATGTGTACCCATATGATCGCTGGAGTGACAAGGTGATAATCATAGGTTCAGGCAGAGGTCAGAATCCATGTGTCACCCCGTGGGCCTCAGGGAGAGGGAAGACAGTCGTGTTCCCGACCCTAGTGCCATCGGATGGAGCAGGGCATGTTCTTTGAACTGGGAGTTGTCTTTTGCCCGAGCGCCATGGCACAGTGATTTGACTGACGCTTCTGCTCTTCTCTGTAGACCCTCCCTGTCTATGAGAAAGGCTCCCGCTTTCAGCCCAGCACTGTGGAGATGGTAGATGGGGAGACCAGTCCACCCCAGCTGCTCACTGAAGCCGACCTCATTGCCCTCATGGAAAAGCATGGCATTGGTCAGTAGCTCGTTGGCATGGTAACTAGCAGCTCTTGAGCACAACAACTCTAATGTGGGTGTTCCATTCCCACTTTATAACTGAAGTGAGGCTTAGAGAAATTAAGAGTTTAACCTGAGATCACCAAGAATAACTCCGCAGTCAATGCCCTTAACCAAAGCTGTGTACCAGCCATGTGCAGGCACACCTCAGAGGTACCAGTGCCATAAAGTGAGTCACACGGACTTTTTGGTTTCCCAGCACATAGAAAAGTTATGTTTGTACTATACTGTAGTCTGTTACGCAGGCAATAGCATTATGTCTGCCAAAAACAATGTACATACCTTAATTTAAAACTACTTTATTGCTAAAAAATGCTAACCATCCTCTGAGCCTTCAGAGAGTCGTAATGTTTTCACTGGTGGGGACATTGCCTTGATGTTGATGAAAATAATATCTGTGAGGCACGATAAAACGAGGTATACCCGTAAAGAAGGCATTTTCCCATAACCCAGAGGTCTCAACTGGGAGCAAGTGCGATCAGTAGACGTGGTCTTTTTGGCCCACACAGGGGTCTGTTGTTTTTGTTTGATTTTGAATAAGGTACCAACATTTAAAACTTGAGAAATTCCACATAAAAATCTGTCTCTTCATCTTTTAAACCCTCTGGAGTTCTGCCAGCTTGGGCATTCATTCCCGCACTGTCAGTAGTTTGGATTGGAGCGGCACATCTCCTCTAGAGATTGCTCACACTGGGCTTCCCTGACCTACTTCTTACATGCCAGGACCCTATGGGATCTCAGTTTGCCACCCTGCTATTCGCCACGGGTGGCCATATTCTTAGAGTTTTGTTAAAGTCTTTCCCTTAATTGTTTAAGAATTAGAAATTAGGGGGCTTTAAAAACAAAAATAGCTAGAACAGAATTGTTTTGCCCACTAAGTCCCATAGCCCAAGCTTTCCAGGTGGCTCCCTTGTGACGAACCTGCTGCCCCTTGTCATTTCTCACTGCAACTCTGAGGAGTGACTTTGGTGAGCCTGGTCCAGAAGGGCCGGTGCATGATGGTGAGGGAAGTGGATGAGTGGGTAGGTGAGCTCCCTCGGCATCTGCCTCGCTGCCAAGTGAGTTTTGTAGTTCTGTGACTTAGGAAGATGTGCTCCTACCTGGAGTCCACTGGCCATCACTGGATTATCCCAAAGCTCGTGCATTTAGGTAAAGTTACAGGTGGTTTTCCTTCCATGATTTACTCATTAAAAATGTCTGAGGCCTAGGCCCTGGGGACACAGAGAGGAGAAGGCCTAGTCCTTCCATTTCAGGGCTTGTCTAGTAGGAAAGTCAAACCAGACACATTAGCTACAATGTGATGGGCTCTGCGGGGGACAGGCAGGGACCTTAAAACCTCATAGTAAGAATTCCTAATGAATGAAGGCAGTGCAGGGAGGGCCTGAAGAAGGACACAGGGACAGGAAAGCACATGCTGCCGGGAGTGGTCATAGAAATCAGGCCAGAAAGATAATTTAAGCCATGCAAGGCTGAGGTGTTGGCCTGTGGTCAGCAGACAGCCATTTCTAAGATTTCTAAGTAAGGGAGTGACATAGAGCTACATTTCAAAAAATGTTAACAGCTTTATTGAATTCACATATACAATTCATTGATTTAAGATGTACAATTCAGTGTTTAATCACAAAATTGTGCAGCCATTACTACAAGTCAGTTTTAGAACATTTTCACCTCAAAAAGAAACCTCATGCCCATTAGCAGCCACTCTCCATTTTCCCTTCTCTCTAATCCCCCCAGCAGCCACTAATCTTGCTGACTCAATAGATTTGACACTTTTTAGACACTTTTTTTTTATTAGTTTCAGGTGTACACTGCAGTGATCAAGCATCTACACCATCCATGAAGTGGTTTCCCTAATAAGACAAGTGCCCATCTGATACCCTATAAAATCTTTACAACATTATTGATTATATTCCCCAAACTGTCTTTCATATCCTCTGGCAATATTGTAGTTACCAATTTATGCTGTCTAATTCCCTCTTCTTCTCCCTCATCCCCATCCCGTCCCATCTAGCAACCATAGACGCTTCTTAAAATGAAATTATGCAACATGAGGCCTTTTATAACTAATTTGTTTCACTCAGCGTGTTTTCAAAGTTCATCCATGTTGCAGCATATCAGCACTTTGTTCCTTTTTATTACCGAATACTATTCCACATTTTGTTTATCAGTTGTTTATCATTGATGGACATTCAGGTTGTTTCCATTTTCTGGCTATTATGAATAATGCTTCACTGAACTTTGTGTTCAGGTTTTTTGTTTTTTCTTTTAAAGATTTTTTTTTATTGGGGGATGGGGACAGCGCTGGGGAATTGGGGGAAGGGGAACAGACAAGTTGCTGTCCTTTTGTTCTTTTGTTCTTCAGTCTAGTTGTGGAGGATGTTGCTTCACTGGCCCAAGTTGGCACCATCATTGCTCTCTTCCCGGGCGAAGCAGATCAGTTGGACAGCCGCTCACTGCAGCTGCTGGCCGCTCACGCTGGCTGCTGGCTACACACGGTAGCTCATGGCAACCCACTGCAGCAAGGGCTGCAGCCTACACCATCGCCGGCAACTCACAGCAGCCCAGCTCCAGGTTGAGCTGTTGTTCAGCATCTTAGCTGTAGAGGGCAGTGTCACTGGCCCTCATATGTGGGATCCGAACCGGGGCCCTCTGGCGTCCCAAGCCAGCTCTTAACCAACGTGCCACTCGGCCGGCCCAAGTGTTCAGGTTTTTATGTAGACATGTTTTCAGTTCTCTTGAGTATAATATACCTAGGAGTAGAATTGCTGGATCACATGGTAACTCTGTTTAACCTTTTGAGGAACCACCAGACTTTTCCACAGCAGCTGCACCATTTTACATTCATCCAGTAGTGTATGAGGGTCCCAGTTGCTCCATATCCTCGCCAACATGTGTGATTATCCATCCTTTTTATTACACCCATCTGAGTGGACATGAAGCGATATTTCCTTGTGGGTGTGGTGTGCATTTCCTTGAAGGCAGAGCTATGTTTTAAAGATCCCTGTGGCCACACCATAAGGAATGGGATGTGTGGAGGAAGAGAGCAGAAACTGGGAGGCTGAGGATGTAATGATGAGATGAGATGATGTGGGCTCTGGCCGTGGCTCTGACTCGGAGCTGATGAGAAAGACTTAAGGAACTTCAGAGCTGGAGTTGACAGCTTTAAGCGGATGTGAGGGAAAGGTGAGGGGCCGTTGTGGTCTCTGCATGGGCTGGATGTGAATGGAGGTGTCTTACTGAGAATGGGGAATCCTGGCAGAGGAAGGGGCCCAAGGGACACTGGGAGGAGTCTGGATGAACCTGAGTAACCCGCAGTGGCTTTCAGGTACGGATGCCACTCATGCGGAGCACATCGAGACAATCAAGGCCCGGATGTACGTAGGGCTCACCCCAGACAAGCGGTTTCTCCCTGGGCATCTGGGCATGGGACTTGTGGAAGGTGAGCAGGAGGGAGCTTGCGGTGGGCAGCTGGGGAGGAAGTCCCCATGCGGCGGAAATCCCTCACAGCACACTGCTCTTTCTCTGTAGGTTATGACTCCATGGGCTATGAGATGTCTAAGCCTGACCTCCGGGCTGAGCTGGAAGCCGACCTGAAGCTGATCTGTGAGGGGAAGAAGGATAAATCTGTGGTTCTAAAGCAGCAGATCCAGAAATACAAGCAGGTCTTCATTGAAGCAGTGACTAAAGCTAAAAAGTGAGTGCCAGGCCCCGCTCTCCTGCGGACGTGGTGGCTTAGCTCTGTGGCCTTGGCCCTGACGTCTCCCTAAGAAGTGGGAGTTTGGGGCCATTCAACAGAAACCTGATGCAGACATGGAGATGAGCTGCTGACATTTTTATGAGGTGTAGCTCCTCCTAAGCCCTGCCCTTCGGGCTGTTTAATCCGCACCAGGCCAGCTCATCCTCACCAGTGGCCTCGTTTCCTGGCAGGGCTGTCTGCACATAGTTCCTTCACTATAGGTTTTCCTCCTGAGTTTCATTTGTTCCTTTCCATAGAGCTTTGCCAGTATAGAAACAATAAACCAAAGATCTGGTCCAGTTATTTTGGGCTGTTGGTTTTAGAAATATCATTCTCTTGATGTTACTTGTCTTGAATTGGTAGATAGCACACTCATCGTAAATCCACATGCTGGTGTGTGACCTGTTTGTTCTGTGGAGTATTTGGCGGTGGCTGTTTAGCAAGCAGCATATGTCCGTTTTGTTAGAAATGTTTTCTGCCCTGTGCCAGTTTTGCAAAATGCATGCGCTTGGTTTACACGTAAACCCAGACAGACACTCCTGGAGTGTGTGCATGGACCCTGTGTGGTTTTGTGTGACGTGAGGCCAGTGACAAGGCAGAAATTACCTGCCCTGTAGCTGGACCTCTCCGTGGAGCTGCTAGAAGTCAGGAGCCAGCGGTGTTTGGCCCCACAGTTCTCTGTCCGCCTCCATTCTTTGCATCAGGCCTGTGGCTGACCAGCCAGCTGACTCTCCAGGTCACACACATGTCGTGTGCACAGAATAATGTTGCAAATGCTTTGCTGTTTCCTCAGGTTGGACGAGGCCTTGTCCCAGTATTTTGGGAAAGGATCAGAGGTGGCCCAGCAAGAAGCCATCTACCCGGCCGTGCCAGAGCCTATCAAGAAGTGCCCACAGTGCAACAAGGACATGGTCCTCAAGACCAAGAAGAGCGGCGGGTCAGTCCCTGGCCTGTGCCCCCCTTTGCTCGCCCCATCATTTTGTTCCTGGGTCATTATGTAAAGGCAGCCTGCTGTTGCCAGCCCCCAGACTGCGCTGGAGATCGACTGTTAGCCTACCGGGAGCTCGTCTTAGAGGCGTGGAGTGCAATGGGTTTCAGGGAAGGAGGGGACCGGCTGATGGGCAGACTTGTGTTTGACTCCATAACCACCCTACAGGGCTCTAAATTGGGTCTGAACATCTCAAATCCCTCTTCATTTTTAGTGCAGGAGTTCAGAGGTGGGCCGTTGACCCCGGGGCTCTGGTTGCCCTGCCTGGCCTAGCTGTCTAAGCCAGCACCTGGCTGCTGGGGAAGGTCCACGGCCGGAGTGATGGAGGTGGTGGCAGTCATCATTTATCATCGCTGTGCCTGGCATGATGCAAGGTGCTCGGCAGACTTGTGTTTGACTCCATAACCACCCTACAGGGCAGGTGTTTTTACCTGTTTTCTAAGGAGTAAAGACGAAGGCTTAGGGGCTGAGGCAGTTTGTCCAGGGAGCACGAAAAGCAGAATTTGAACCCAGGTCTTCACAGCTGCAGCATTGCTCACCCATGTTGCTACGTGACAGGTCTCCCTGGCTCTTAGAAACCAGAGGTTAATGTGCCTTCCTGGCAGCCAGTGCCGCTGTAGGCTTAGCCAGTGCCGATGGCCGTATGCCAGTGCTTAGTAAATGCTATCGATGGGTTTCTCTTTGCCACCAGTGGGTAAGTGGACTAGTAACCATTGGGATGTATGCGGAAGAACACTTACTTTTGCTCTGAGTTCTCCAAATTCTTGAGTCATCCAGGTGGGTCTTAAGACTGTCTTGTGAGATTTACCACTCCAGGGTTTATCTGATAATTTCTGGGGTTTTGGATTTGCTGTTTGAATAATTGGGATTTGTTTTTCCTGATCTAGTCATAACCAGGCATGTTCATAGGGCATTGTAAATTGTGTGCATGTTGGCTAGTCCAGCCCTGAAGTTTCATGACTGGGAGGCATCAGGAAATGTTGGCCGAGAAAGATGTGGTGCAGAGTCCAGACTCTCCCATCACAGATAGACAGGGCTCTAGTCTTGGCTCCCCAGCTCCCTCCCTGTGCCTCCTGTAGCAGGTTTCCAGATGGCTCCAAGCCTCAGTTTGCTCCAGTGTAAGATGAGGATGCCCTGAGGAAGAGGTGAGGGAGGGTGACAGCTCTCAGCACAGCCTGAGTGGAGCCCTCGGGATTCGGCAGGGCGTGGTCCGGTACTGATAGGTGGGTTGGTTGTTTTTAAGTAGAGAGCAGAGTCAGCTGTAGCTGTTTCACTTTTTTAAGGAGGTGAGAAATAAATGCAGGCTAGTTTTTCTGAGGCATTCATTACCAGTGACTGTATCCATTTAAGTGTCCTCCAGAAAAATGAATGTCTTCTGTAATCAGCTGAAGAAAAGTTTCTTTGCCAGATGGGTGACAGCCTAGGACTGTTTCCCCTGCTCTCTGTGGTCTGATGATGGCTCCTGCCTCCATGATCCACAGGTTCTACCTCAGCTGCACGGGTTTCCCGGAATGTCGATCCGCCATGTGGTTCCCTGACTCTGTGCTGGAGGCCAGCAGGGATGGGAGTGTGTGTCCCATGTGTCAGCCACACCCTGTCTACAGGTGAGCTGGGCGTCTACGTCAGCTGGGACAGCACCGGTGGGGAATCTCCAGGGACTGTAATTCCTGGGCACCTCAGGGAGGGTCTCAGCTAGGTCAGCAGGCCTCATTGGCTCAAGTGCCATCACAGCCTGTATGGGTGGGGCAGCCAGCCTGGGGGGGGGGCGGTGCCTGGGCTGCTCAGGAGGATGCACCACAGGCCTCCTTTCCCTGGCCTCCTGCTAGGCTGCCGCTGCCTGGAGCTTAGGGAAGTATCGTGTATTGAGTATCATTGCCAAGTTCCTCCCAGAAGCCCAGTGCATAGAACTGAGCCTCAAACCTTTTGGTCACAGGACCCCTTACACATGTAAAAATCATTGAGGAACCCAAAGAGCTTTTGTTATGGGCTATGTTTATCAATATTTACCATATTCTAAATTAAAGTGGAAATGTCTTCTAAAATTTAGTTTATTCATTTGTTTTTAACAAATGTACTGCATGCTAACATAAATAACATGTTTTTAGGCTAAAATACCTATTTTCCAACCCTCAAAAATAAGAATGTGTGGCTTTCCATTTTTGTAAGTCTAATGTCTGGCTTAATAGGAGACAGTTGGATTCTCACCTGCTCCTACAGTCTGCTGAGTTTATTGTGTGTGTTGCATTGTTGTAGCCTCTCTCTGGAAAACTACTGCAAACACTGGGAAGAATGAGAGCACAACACATTTAACTTCTTAGCGTTGTGACAGAATATTTTTTATCTCCCCTTGAAGCCCCCAGAGGCTGCTGAGGCACACTGAGAACCCTGGTGCCGGGGATAGACCTTTCAGAGGCTTTGGTATTGCCGTGACTCCCTAGGGACTTAAATGTCATCTGTATAGTCTTGGGAAGATTGGAGCGGTCTGGTGGCTGGTGCCTTGTGGGGGCTTCCTGAGCTTGGGATGCTGAGGGGAGACCAAGAATGGGCACACACCAAGGAGAAGCCTCTTGTACCTGGTAGTTATGCTTTTTCTCATCTTCTGGCCTCACTAGGTTGAAGTTGAAGTTTAAACGTGGCAGCCTTCCGCCGACCTTGCCTCTGGAATTTGTTGGCTGCATTGGTGGATGTGATGAGACCCTGACAGAGATCTTGGACCTCAGGTTTTCACAGGCCACCCCCAGAGCCTGCCCGCCAGCCCCCCAGCCCTCTGGCTACCTGCAGGCTAGCCAGTCCTTGAACAGAATGGACAGCCAGCATAGCCACCCCCAGCCTCCTGACACCAGGCAGGCCAGGCCCTCCAAGGCTCCAGCCAACAATCCACCACCGCCCACTACTGCTGCTGAAAGCAACTCTGTGACCTGCAACTGTGGCCAGGATGCCCTGCTGCTCACTGTCCGGAAGGAGGGCCCCAACCAGGGCCGGCAGTTCTATAAGTGCCATGGTGGCAGCTGCAGCTTCTTCCTGTGGTCAGACAGCAGCCACCCAGAAGCAGGATGGACTCCCTCCTCCACATCAAGACCCCCAGGTGGCTCCCTGGGGTGTCCATCGGGCCCGGGGAACCACCCAGGCGGGTTTGGCAGACCCGGTGATAATCGTGGAGGTGGCACATCCTGCCTGTGCAGCCAGCCTGCGGTCAGACGGACTGTGCAGAAGGACGGACCCAACAAGGGGCGTCAGTTCCACACGTGCTCCAAGCCAAGAGAGCAGCAGTGTGGCTTCTTTGAGTGGGTGGACGAGAACGTGGCCCCAGGTGAGCACCACCCTTCCCGCAGCAGCACTGCAGGGAGCAGCGCCAGAGCTGGGCCGGGGCTGGGGCGTGCAGATCCCTGCCTCAGACTGAAGGCAGCAGCAGAGAGGATGCAGGGCGGGCAGTGGTGGGAGCAGGAGGTAAGTGGGTCGCCTCGCTTTCCCGTCTCCTCATGTGATCACTTTCGGCAAGATAGTGACCAGCACTGTCTTCATTCCAAACCAAAGGGTGGTGCCGTGAGTTGAGTAGCTTAGCACTCTGCTAAGTAGACTATATAGGCATCTTCCACCTTCACCAAATAAGCACATGATCACAGTTTTATAAATGAGGAAGGTGAGGCCCCAACAAACAGTGATTTTGCTCAGGGTCACATTGCGACACAGCCCAAGATTTGAATGTAGGTTGGCCTGATCCCACAGCCCTGTCTGTGCTCCTGTAGCCTTTGTAAACCTTGGAAATTGTTATCATCAGCCTCAGTTCTTCAGATGAAGAGACTGACCCTAATGTCTGGGAATCTCCCCAGGGTTACACGGTTTGGGTCTGTGGTAACTGGCACTTGGACCCTGGATCAAGGTAGGTAATGCGCCTGAAGGCACTTTGAAGTGGTCCCTGCCCACTTGGGGACACAGCAGAGAATCACGAAAGGCCTGATGGGATCTTTGTTGTGCAGAGCTAGTGCCAAAGCCCAGCTGTCTAACCTTGAAAAATGACTGCCTCTCAGCCTCAGTTTCCTCAATAAGATGAGCACATGCCCACCTTTGTTGGGGTTCCTGTTTTATAAAAGAATTTAGTTAGGGTCAGACTGTGGTTCTAACACGTCACCAGCTCTGCACGTCCAGGAGGAAGCTAGAAGGCTCAGTAAAAGCAGAGGGCTGGCTACCAGAGCTGGAGGGGCCCAGAGATGGCCACTGCCGGGACGGACCCACATTTGAAGTGTGAGAAGTAGCTCAGACATGTGAGGGCTGATCATCTCCTCCGCTGGAGGAACATAGTGTCTGACCTCCAGGACAGCTGATCAGGTCGCCATCCTGGGTTGTCAGGCGGTCAGTCCTGAGAGGCCTGTGGAAGGATCCAGAACTCAGGTTTCCTTGCATGGAAGATGGCGAGCAGGTTGTTGTCTTCAGTAAAAAGGGCGTGTATAAAGTGACATCAGTGCGCGCTTTACCAGGATGGTGATAGAGGGCCAAGGCCTTCAGGAGCTTAGGGTTCAGGTAGTGACGTGTGTTGACAGAGTGGAGGGAGCCTGGCCTGTGGGGTAAGTGTGACTACATACAGGTTAGGAGGACACCCTCCACCCAGTACCAACCTGTGCTTCTATCCACCAGTGTGTCCTTCTAACCTCAGCCCTCCCCTGACTTTCCTCACAGGGACTTTCGGAACTCCACCCCGGCCAAGAGGCAGAGGAAGAGCCCAGGGACTGGAGTCCAGAAGCAAAAGAGCCCAGTCCAGCTCCTCAGACACAGGGTCCACGGCCAAGAAACCCCGTAAATGCAGCCTCTGCCACCAGCCTGGCCACACCCGTCCCTTCTGTCCTCAGAACCAATGAGGGCAGGGTAGGGGAGAAAGGGCCACTTCCTCAGACCTGCCCCTTTTGTCTCAGGAATGAATTGTTTTCACTGGGACCAGGTGGTCCTTCACTGCCCTGGAGGCTATTGGAGACTGGCCTGCCGGACTGCTCTCAAGAAGTCCCTCTGTTGGACAGTGACCCTCTGCCTGGAGCTCAGGAATGACCATGGCCACTACCCAGAAGTCCCTGAAGCTGCTCCCGGGGTCCCGCTTGGGTTGTTGCTACTAGCCCTGTGGAGAAGCTGGTAGCTAGAGCGTGTAGTGCTGGGGTCCCAGCCTGCCACAGCTGGGACCTCAGGGCTTCCTCTGGGTCCAGAAAGATCCCTGAGGGACTGGACTGACACGCCCAGTGCAGGCTTTCAGCAGCCGGGGAGGGGCTCCTCTCCACAGACATCCTGAAAAAGGAGGGTATGGAATTCAAGGAAGAGGTCTCGTTCTAAAATTGTGTGTACAGAAGCAGCTTTATTCCTTTATCTGAAACCCGCTGTGCCTGGGACACTCCCAGCTCATGTGCCTTAATAAAGAATTCTATCCTTTACTCTGGTGGGTCTGGTGCAGCATCTGGTGAATGGTGGCAGGAGCAGCAGATACACCAGCCAGTGCCTGAGGGAGCACTTGCCGGCCTCCGGCCCAGGGCCTCCCCTCCCAGCCCTTCCCCCTCCTCCCTGTCCACATGGTAAGTGGGAGCTCCGCTTCTCGCAGCCCCACAACCTGCTTGTCCCGCAGAGCAGAGTAGATAGAAGACTGAGCATACTCTTCATCTTCCATACCTCCGGAAGTTGCCACATTTGCTTGTTTGCCTTCACAAAAAGCTTGTGAATATTATGTAACCATATTGGCTTTCTTTTATGGTTAGAAGATAAGCAGAAATGGAGTGTGAGTTGCCCAGAGTCATGTTGCTAGCTGGTGAAGAAATGAACTGTTCTTAAGACTTGGGACTCCCAGCCCCGTGCCCCTCAGTTAGACCAATAGCTCTGTGCCCTTGCTGAATGGCAAGGTGAAGAGTTTTTCTAAGTGCAGGTAGATGCCTGGAATTGCTCCTGGAGTACCTGATCGCTGAGTGTGGGTTATTGTCCTGCGTTTATGTCCCGTCCCCCGTCCCCACCCTGGCAACCACCAGTCCACTGTTCTGTCTCTGCTTTTACCTAAGTTGAACAGGGTTTCATATGAATGGAATTGCACAGAACGTGACCTGTTTCTGGCTTCTTTCACTTAGCATGGGGTTTGCAAGTTCCATCCACTTTGCAGCATGTGTCAGTCCTTGATTGCCTGTTATGATTGAATGATGTTTGTTGTGTGGATGGACCACATTATGTCCATCCATTTTCCAGCTGATGGATGTTCAGGCTGTTACTGCCTTTTGGCTGTTGTGAATAGTGCTGCTAGAAACATGTACAAGTATTTGAACACCTGTTTTCAATTCATTAGGGTATATATGTAGAAGTGGAGTTGCTGGGTCATAGGTTAATTCTGTTTAGTAACTACGATTTTCCACAGCAGCTGCACCATTTTATCTTCCCACCAGCAACGCACTAGGGTCCCATTTCTCCACATCCTCACCAATACTTATTTTCATTTTGTGGCCACCCTAGTGTGTGAAGTGGTATCTCATTGTGGTTTTGACTTGCATTTTCCTAATGACTGCTCATATTGAACATCTTTTTGTGGGCTCTTTGGCCCTTTGTATATCTTTGGAGAAATGTCTGTTCAAGTCTTTTGCCTATTTTTCAACTGGGTTGTTTGTCTTTTTGTTGTTGACTTGTGGTTCTTTATAGATTCTGGATACTGGATGCATTTGTGGGTTTTAATCTTCCACAGGTAACCCCTGTGTGTGCCAAGGCCAAGAACTGCTGGATTGGACCACCAAGGACAGACCCAGCTCCCTCGACCTGCCATGCTTCCCTGGGCTTGTGCCTTCCCCACTGCGCCTGAGCAGCCTCATCTGGAACATATGTTAGTCAACCGGGGGATCTTTGGTGGAGAGTGATGGTCAGGCCCACTCGCAGCAAGAACTTCACAAGCACAACCTGTGAGAAGGGTTTCCACATCTCTCGAAGGCCCACTCAGGCTAGCAGCATTTTGTGCACCGAGAAATTGACCCTTCCCCCTCTGACGGTGACTGGAAAGATTTGAGCCCCACCTCATACAGCTTGCACAGTGCAAGACTGAAGAGAAGATGACCCTCGTGTATGAGCCCTGGCCAAGACTGGGAACTAGGCCAGGTGGTTACGCACCATGGTCCTCAGCCTCCCAGCTCCCCTGCAAGGGCAATGGAGGCTCTGATGGCTTAATGCCTTCTCCCAACAAGCAGCTAAGTGGGAATTGAAACAGCCTGCGTCCATGTCTACACCTCAGCCCCTGTTCTCCATCCCAAGCTGAGAGCCTGCATGGCAGGGGAAGAGCCACCTGCCATTCCTCGCAGAGGAAGCCTGGCTGACACCTTGAACTTCCCCACGCGATTCTGCCTGCCCCAGTCAGAAACAGCAGGAGCGGCCACCCCACACTGTCGCTGGTATTTGCGGGAACCTGTCTGGTGCTTACTCTTCTTGGAGCAGCTGGGAGCTAAAAATAAGCCCCGTTCACCCTCGCAGCCGGCCACTCTCTAAGCCCTAGGCCTAGTGTGCCCAGCAGCACTGCGGCCTCATCAGGCACCAGCTCTGGGACACCGAGAGGAGACCCCGCTGCCCTTTGGGGTGAATTCACAGCCACCTTTCCTTTCAGGGCCATCACGTCCCACAACTTCAGCTGTTCAAACCCAAGGATCCCTCGACAAGAATACAAAGATGGTGAGAGGTCAGTGAGCATGCAGGGTGGAACGCTCACTCCTGCTGGGGGTCACTCCTACTGGGGGCATGTGTATGCCCACCCGAGCTTTAGCCTCCCTGTGTTCACGCTGCGAGATGGTGCCGGGGCAGCCTGGAAAGTATGTTGTGTAATCACACAAGTGAAAGGGCCGGAGAGTCCGGCCTTCCTGCCGGCCTGAGGCCCCCACCAGTTAAACGGTGATGTCTCAGGAAATGGGCAGCTGTGCAAAGATGGCTCAAAACAGTACCCCCGGCGTGATTTGTGTTGGTCTTTGGAATACACTGATTTTCATCTGCTACACCCTTAGCTTCCTTGCTGAATTAAGCACAACCAAATTCTAATGTTACTGGGGGGTTTTAAGACTATTTTTTTAATTAGAAAATAAAAATATACTTTTGAAAAATGCAAATGTGTGACATGCTGGGTTGAAGGCCCCTTGTTTTAGAGAACAGGACAAGTGGAGCAGTGACCCTGGACGAGGGGCTTTGGGGTAAGCTGTCCTAGACCCTGACCCTGGGCCCAGCACTCTTCTTGTACCCAGAGGAGGTGTGCACCTGTGCTAGAGCCCCTGTAGGCTTCGTGTCTGCTCCCTAGGGCTCTGAGCCTGGCCTCATGGCCAGCTAAGTTCCTAGGGTCTTAAAGGGAAGGCCCCTTTGGAGCCAGAAGTCATGAAGTGCTTTCATTGTATGGCTTGTACACTAGCTCAGGGGCAGTTTTCTCGAGGTAGTCCGGCCTATTAAGGTCTCCGAACCAGCTGGTTCAACTGACAGTGAACTGCATTTTTCCTCAGCATACACTGGGCAGATGCTGGGAGCCACAGACACGGGTGTCGCTGGCAGGAGTAGGAATTGCACTTCCATTTTGCACTCAAAGTAGTAAGATCTATGAAAGATGGGGAATGCAGTGATGAGGCGGGGATGGTCAGTGGTGGGTGGAGGGTGGGCCACCAGCTTCGTTCTCCCAAATGCGGCCTTTCCCTTTCTGCCCCAGTCCCACCAGTCAGCTCAGCGCCTTAGGCTGAAATCCTTTCAGAACAGTTTGGCAAGATCCTTCAGGATCTGAATGATGTTTGAACGCTTTCCATTCCCAGGAGTCATAATGAGAAAATCCATGTGCACAGACTCTTTCGGGGCTTTTTTTTTTTAAGATTTTTATTGGGGAATTGGGGGATGGGAACAGCGCTGGGGAATTGGGGGAAGGGGAACAGACAAGTTGCTGTCCTTTTGTTCTTCAGTCTAGTTGTGGAGGATGTTGCTTCACAGGCCCAAGTTGGCACCATCATTGCGCTCTTCCCGGGCGAGGCAGATCAGTCACCGGCTTCTGGACGGCCGCTCACGGCGGCTGCTGGCTACACACAGTAGCCCATGGCAACCCACTGCCACAGGGGCTGCAGCCTTTGCCGTCGTGGGCGACTCTGAGGCAGCCCAGCTCCAGGTTGAGCTGTTGTTCAGCATCTTAGCTGTAGAGGGCAGTGTCACTGGCCCTCATATGTGGGATCCGAACCGGGGCCCTCTAGCATCCCAAGCCAGTTCTTAACCATTGCACCAAGCACAAGGGTCTTGCTTTTTTTTTTTTTTTTTTTTTTTTTTTTTTTTTTTTTTTTTTTTTTTTATAGCAAAGACTGAAACAACTGGACAGATACCCCCACTTGAAGAATATCCTGCAGCTAAGTATTCCTGAGGAGACATGCTTACCACTGAATCAAAGGATATGCTGATTTATATGGTAAGATTTATTCTTGAGTTGTTACAGTAAAGGAAGTACGGGTAACATTTGAAATTAGTAAGTTTTTGTTTGGCATTTTTGTGTTATTTTTATCTGCTCTGGCAACCCTTTCATTCTGAGCAGGTAGCATCACTGCCACACCACAGTCCTCATGATGCCAGGCCTTCAGTCACTTGGTAAAGTTAAACCAAGGATGCAGATTGCTGGGCTTTGCCACCACAGCTGAAGGGTCTAAATATTAAGCTGTTAGACCTGAGACCACACCTAGCTCAGAGCAGCAGCTGCCGGGGCAGTGGGCACAGCCGACAGCCAGCCCAGGACAAGCCCCTGCAAAGGCTCTGGTAGCAGGATGGTGGTTGGTGTCCAGTCTCCGGCTAGAAACTCAAGCCCCAGATGTTAAGCTTGCAGCGGTGAGGTAACCATGTCATTTCTTCCCCTTTTAATTCATCCTGGTTTTTTTCTTACTGAAATTATGGTGTGAAAGGGGAAATTCAGAGCTTCCTAAAGCATGAAACCTTCCCAGAGGGGACCACATGTAAGGGTTTGGTCATCTAACAAGAAGGGCTCGAGACAAAGCTCACTCCTGGGCTGCCGCTCCGGGCACCAGTGGTCCTGTAGAGTGCGGTCATGGTCAGATGCAGGCCTGGCAGCGGGGGCTCCTTGTGCTTGGGCTCTGTGATGTTGGCCAGATGAGGGAGGCAGCAAGCCCCAACAGTCTCTCAGGTTTGGGGACGGTTCACTTTGTGCCAGGCTCTGCGTTAACACGCCCACCAGCAGTTATTCCTTCCAACCACCCTGGGAAATGTATAATTCCCAATTTCTAGATGAGAATACCGAAGCACAGCCTGTCTCCAGCCTGTTCCCTTGCCCGTCTCAGCTGCCATTACAGCTGCTTAAGGTTCTCTATGTACCAGCTCCTGAGCCAGGTTGTCTGCATGGCCCTCAGCTAAGCCAGGCTCCTGCCCTTTGACCCACACCACAGCCTCTGCTAGCAGCCATCCAGAGAGCTGTCTGAATGCCGCAGAGGCGGCAGCCCGGGGTCCTGTACCCAGAGGTATACAGTACTTTTCATCTGTCCCCATGTGACAGCCCCTCAGATGAGGGAGAACTCAGATCGGGTCCCCCATCGGTTTTGTAGACACAGTTGGAAGGTGGGGGGTCATCTTAGGAAGTACAATGGGATGGGAAGGAGAAGCAGGATGGGTCCGGCTTAGCTGTGGAGGCCATACCCTCAGTACACATGGCCCAAAGCTTACCCCAGGCCTCTGTCATCTGTGGTGACAAATAGCCCCAGCTATGGCTATTGTGGGGACACAGACACACTTGCTTCCCTGTCTGTACAAGGACGGGGGGGGGGGGGTTGGCCCTCCACTCGTGGGACCATAGGGAGAAATGAAGGAGGTGGAGAAATCACATTTCTCTGATGACGCTGGCTGAAGGGCTTTGGGGCAACTTCAGCTGTCCCGAAAAGCACTGGGAGGCTACAAAGTTTAGGCTTTAGGGGGCGGTTGGTTAGCTCAGGTGGTTAGAGCGCAGGCTCATAACACCAAGGTTGCCAGTTCGATTCCCACATGGGCCAAGGAGCTGCGCCCTCCACAACTAGATTGAAGACAACTACTCGACTTGGAGCTGATGGGTCCTGGAAAAACACAGTTCCCCAATAAAAACTTTCTAAAAAAAAAAAATGTTTAGGTTTTGGGAAGAAACAAAACACCAACCAGTTGGTTCCCATTACTAAAGCAAGACATCACACCAGCAATCTTGTAATACTCTCCCTCCATCTAACCTACTTTTCCAGTTAAATCATACCACCTCCAGGTTGATGCCCAGCACCTCTGGCCAAGCTTCCAGAACTCTAAACAGCTGCTTACAAGAGCCAAGCACAAGTCACACAGACATTTGCATTTTTCCTTTTATTCTTGTTCACAGTCCTTGAGGCACAGCTCTGCTTCAGCAGGAAGGATACCAAGATTAGGAGGGACACCTAGGAGGGAGGCAGGCCCTCCCTTCCCTAGCTCCACTACCTCTGCCAGGCTTCAGTGAGAATACAGCATAGTCTGAGGACAGTTCGTGTTGGCACTGCGGAGGCCTCTCCAGCCGGGCCCAGTAACAGCTGTCAGGATCCCTTTGGCTCTGGGCAAGGCAGGGGGAACAGAACCTCGGCTCCACCAGGGGCCTCCACTGCCTGAAGAGAGGACTCGCCTAGTTGAAGGGAAAAGGGCCTTCCCCGGAGGTGTGAGGTGGGCAGCACATCAGGCTGAGCTCCACTCCAGGCTGGAGGAGAGAGCTCGACAAGCAAACTAGACCACTGATGACACTGGAAAACGCCAGCCTTTAAGTCAGCCAAAAAGCTGCATTCTGTGGGTAGCATCTGCGGTCCCTGGGGGTGAACACACACATGGTATCTACCATTCAGTACCAGAGGCCTCGAGATGCCTGGAGCTGGCACCTGAGGGAAGCACCAACTCACCCTCTCAACAGAAAAACGGAGCTGGCCTTATGCCCTGCCTAGGCTGGCAGAAGCCAAGTTCTGTCAGCAGATTCACTGCTGGTGATGGAGCAAGCCCAAGGTCCTGGGGTCGGGTCCAGAAGGCTGAGGGGTGTATGTGAGGGGGAGGCACACGGGGCTGCCTGAGGCAGTCCAGCCACACTCACATGACAGCAACCTCAGCTCTCTTGGCTCAGAGGGTTCCAGCGACTGTCGCCTATGCACATGTTAACCCCATGGGCTTACATAATGCACCCTCTTTTATTCTGACTAAAAGAGAAAAATGCTCTCCAAATCCCTGGGAGGGAGAAATGCGCAGCTTAATGGCATCAGAACACATGCTGGCCGCCTGTCCCACCCATCTGCAGCAGCCCCTTGGGGGCCTGAAGGCCGAGGTACAGTGCGTATCCAATGTCATCAATCTCCTCCTCACACAGGCTGTCAAAGAGGTTTATGTTGGGGTTGAAACGGCAGGGTAGGCTGGCCCGCTCCAGGCTACTGATGAGCAGCTCCAAGGCCTGCAGGAAGCGCTCCCCCAAGGCCTCCTCGGCCCAGTCCACCTCCTCTTCCCCAAGATGTAGAACCACCTGGGTCAGGTGGGCCCGGCCCAGCCGCCTCAGGGCTGGGTGGCCTTGGCAGACACTACACAGCAGCAACAGCAGCCGCCGCCGGGTCCCAACATCATGGTTATCCAGAGCTTGCAGCCGGGCGGCCTCTGCCGGGTACAAATCCTGCAGCCAGAGGTTCCCAGCCAGCCCTTCCAGGGGCCAGGCCAAAAGGAGGCAGTCTTCGGCATCAGCATCAGTGACAGCCAGCAGCACAGCCACAGTGAGCTCCAGGTGCTCGTGCTGCACCTCGAGCAGCAGCTCCTCTGAAGCCACACTGGGCCGGATCAGGCACCCGAGAAGGCTGCCAATAGCTGGCCAGTTGATGGAGGCAGCCAGGGCCTTGCGGAGCAGTTCCAACAGGACACGGGAAGAAAGGTAGCCACCCACCAGGAAGCGGTCCCAGGGGCTGCTTCCACGGGGGCAGAACTCAAGCTGAGTCCTGCGCACAGCCCAGCAGCGAGGGTCCCTGGCCACAGTGTCTACGCCTGGCACCAGGCTCCACAGGCCTGGCTCCAGCACCAGGGGTGCCAGGAGGCGAACGTGGTAGGAAGAAGCCCCTGCCTGCAGGCCGTCATAGAGCGGCCCCCCAGGGATAAGCGCCCGAAAGGGCAGTTCAGGGAACTTGCTCTGCAAATAGGCCTGAAGCTCCAGGGCAATGTCGCCGGCCAGCTGTTTGGCCAGAGCCACGTGGGACACTGGGATGGCCACGTGGTCCCGCTCGAACACCAGCAGCTTCTCCTGGAACGTCAGGCACAATGGTGCTGGGGAGCTAAGCTGAGGCGATGGCTGAGGGTCAGCATCTGTGGGCCCCTCTGCAGAGTGAAAGGGCCAGGGAGCATGTCAGAAGACCCTGTGACAAGCCAAGAGAACTCCACCCGTTTACTGACTGTGTGCTGGCCCTGGGCCTCATTTTCCTCACCTGTAAAATGATCCCCTGAGAAAGCACTTAGGTCCTCATGTACAAAGAGCACTTTGACGACAAATTCTTATTGCCCCAGATCCCCAACACTCTGGGGCCAAATAAGCTTCATGCAGAATGAGGAGACAGGTCCTGAGCCTCAGTTTCCCCATCTGAGGCCCCCCCCCTCCCCCACTGTCATAACGCTGCTGCCCTGCTCCGCTGCCACCCCTGCAGTCCACATGTCCCAGTGGCTGGAGACTCAGCACCACCCGAGATAGGAGGGCAGAGAAACACAACCATTAAAAAGGCAAGGAGCCTGCAACAGTCAGTCAGTGGCAGGGCCTGGGCTGCACATCCTGAATGTGACCACCAAAGGGGGACCGACCAGGTTAGAGGGGAAGGGATGCTATTCACCTGGGGCAGAGGGCAAGGGGGCTGGGAGCAGCACAGACTGGCTAAGGGCAGCAGGTGGGGACCGGGACTGTAGGCATGGAGTTGCCTTGAGCAGGTTCAGTTCCTTCCAGCTGTCTTCCAGGCATGTGGTGTCCCCTTTGGTGTCGTCCTCATCCCGAGGGCTGGTGGCCCTGTCAATGAGCTGCAGGCAGAGTGACAGAGATCAGAGCATCCAAATCCTGGGCAACCAATGCAAAGCCCAGGGGCAAAGCAAACCAAGCTGCTGGGTACAGAAGCAGGTGCCAGTCTTGGGCAGTCCCCACCTGACCACCCATGGCCCCACCGCAGGCCCCGGCCCTGTCATCCTCCTCTGGGAGCCCCAGGTATAACTGGCCCGTGTGGCCTTACCCGCTTCACAGCTAGAGTGGCAATACCCAGCACGGCAGCCCCGCCCACGCCCAGCACCAGGCGGGCATTGGCCAGGAGGAAGTCCACAGCACTGCCCAGCATGTCGTCATCGTGCCGCTTCCCCCGTTTCTGGGAGAACTCTGCCATGTCTGTCTGCCTATAAGAGAGCCAGGGTGCAGGGACCACTGAGTGTGGGGCAGCCAGACTGGCAAAGGAGCAGGTGTGGGTAGGCACTCTGGCTGCCATCATGCTGGGGTCTCTGAGTCAAGCCCATAAGGTGGGTTCCTGAGTTTCAGGAGAACGGGGCCACCCAAGGCGTTTCTTGTGAGGAGATGGCGAACTGCCTGAGCCCCCTTCCCCAAACCTGCCAACAACCCACCCACCCCCTGGGCAGGGGGGCTGACACAGAAAGGCCCTGGATAGGTCAGAGCAGGGGGCCCATCTCCCCAACCCTACCCTCTAGGACTCCTGATGTCACCAAAGACCCATGAGGAGGGTCTTACCATCACCCCAATTTTACAGAGAAACAGTCTGCTAAACCATACAGTGAGTAATGGGTTCTTGGACGCAGGACTGCAAAGCCTCCAGACACTTGCCCACCCCTAAAATCCCATCAGACCCCCGCTATGGTCAGGTCCTAGAGGCTGCCTCACCCTGGTTCTTCACCCCTGGCATAGCAAGAGGAAACAAGGCCCATCGAAAACCACAACATGGGCTCCCAGACAGCCTACCCTGGAGGGCCTCTCAGACCTTAGGGGGACCTCCGTGAGGCCAGTTACCCCCAAATCTTGACAAGGTAGCCCCCAGAGGCAGAGCTATCAAGTCAAAGGGCAGGACCAGTGAGATGGCCCATGCTATGGTGGGGAGGAGCAGGCATGAGCTCCTGTCAATGGGTACATGCTAGTCAAAGCCAAAGGCCCCGCTGTGGGGACAGCAGGCAAGGTAACTAAACACAAAGACTCCAAACATAGGACTGGACCAGGGGCCCCTCTTGGGCTTGGGACAATGGGAGGATGGGGAGCTGTCCTCAGCTGCAGGGAGCCCAAGGAACAGAGAAGGTAAGCTGAGGGCCTGAAGCCCCTGCTATCTGCTCACCTGTAAAGTGGCACAGACAAAAGGTGGCACAGACAGCAGAGAGGACGGGTTAGAAGTGAGGAGCCCAGAACAGTGGGGCTGGGTGGGGCCAGGCACTTGGAAAGTAGAGGCAGAGGCCTCTCCCAGGCCCCATCCACCAAGCCCAACCTCAGGTTCTTCCAGGGGGACTCCTGCCCTCAGGCCCTGAGAGCTGAGTGTGTGTGTGATCAAGAGGCAAGCTCAGGGGACCAGACACCAGGCAGCATTGTCTCACTGAGGACAGCTGAGCAGATGACCCTGAGCTCAGAGCCACCAAGGACTTCCAGACTCCCTGCCTGGGGCTGTGGGTACCCAGGGCTGTTGCCAGGCTACAAGGTGCCTGGAGCAGCTGAAGCCTGAAGCACTTGGGAACTCGGCCCCAACACCTGCCCTTCCATTCGCCCAGACTAAAAATAAAAATCGGCTCTGGGGCCTGGATTGGTCAAAGGCTGGCAGGGTGCCCACTACAGCGTAGCAGTCAGTTTGTTCCCTCATAGGTGATCAGTACTGCCACCTGCCTCCAGCGGGACCAGGAATCCACTCTGCAAACTGTAAAGCGCTTTCAATACCCCACACCTGTCTAAGCTAGGACTCAGTCCAGCCCCTGGTGGGGTTGCGCAGGCCCCAACCCGCAGCCTGCCAATTCGAGGAAAGGCAGAGGGCGCGGGTGGTTAAAAATAACTGACTCTGCTCAGCCTGACCCCATAGAGTCCTAGGACGGCGCCTGTACTCCCCCTCCTCCGCAAACCCAGGGCCGGGGCTGGGCGGGCCGCGTAGCAGCCCCTGAGGGCCTGTCAAAGGCCCCGTTCACCGGGGAGGGCACCGAAGCCCTGAGAAACCAAGGGATGTACCCAAGACGGGATTCCAACTCCAGCCTACGGGCCCAAAGCTTCTTTCCCGGGCCGTGACTGCCGGCCCCAGCGGTGGCCTCGCCCCCGACCTGCGTCCCGGGGGCTCTGCATGTCCGGGGCTAGGTGACCGAGGCCGCCGCGCTCCGGCCCTACCTGCGTCGCTGCTTCAGCGCACCAACCGGCGAAGGCACCAGGACAGCTTGGGCCCGGACCCCGACCCGCCTGGGGATGGAATGGGAAAGACCTGGGAACCGAACGCTGAGCCTCCGGGGCAGTTGCTGACCCCAGATGCACGCAGACGAGCAGGTCTTAGCTCCAATCGGAGTGCTCAAGGCCCGCTCCCTCATGCCAAAATACTATGCGGTTCAGCCAATGGTGGCCAGGTCACGTCCTCTAACCGCGTTGCGCGCTCCTGCAGGGGCGGGACTTTCCGACGCACCCCGGATTTAAAGGCCCAGAGTTGTGGCCCGAGCCCCACGCCCCGCCGTGTGGTGTCAGAGCCCAGGGTAACGGCATGAGCTAGCTGGCCCTCGGGGCCCTTTGTGACGTGTGTGTGCTTGTAATGTGAGTCTCTAGTGTGGAGAAAGCTATCTGGGCCCCTGTTCCTTCTCGGGGCTGGGCAGACAGGCGGCACTTGGCCCAGAGGCCCGCAGGTCTGACCCTTTAGGTCACTTCTGTGCGAGTGCCTTGGTGGCCTTGTTATTATTATCTGTTGGCCTGCGGGGCACACCGCGTGACTCAGAACTACTCCCGCCACCTGCTCCGTGTGACCTTGTGCGGGCCACTTCTCCACCCGGGCTTCAGTTTTCTCTCCTGTGAAATGGGAACGCCACACCTTCTCCACCCTTGCGAAGGATGCTTGTGTATATAACTTGTGGTTCATTCGGCATTTGTTTACTAGGGGCCTATTATGTGCGCGTCAGTGGGAGCGAGCAAGCAAATAAATGGACGGAGGGGTGGTTGACTCTAAGCAGAAATAACGTGCCACTTATTGAGTGCTTTCTGTATGCCATGAGCTACATCTGCATTTGTTCATTTGCTTCTGGCAACAACCTTAGGAAGCATTTCACAGATGAGGAAAAACAGGCCAGGAGGAGGCCTGGGCTTGCCCACAGCTCCGGGACCCAAAGACCGAGGCGTCCTACTACCACTGGTAGCTACGCAGGGCCCAGTGGGCGGATAGAGACTCCCGGGGCCTCTGCGCCCCGGGGCCTGGATCCAGAATCTCCCCGGCCACAGCCAACTTCAGGTGCTGCAGCAGAGCAGGGGACAGGTACTGCAGATACCCGTGACACCCCCCCCCCCATCCCCCCGGCCCTGGGGCTCAGGGACTCAGCCCGGAAGTTACGAAGCCACCTTCCTGAACACGGAGACGTCCGGACTCCTCGAGGCCAGCGAAACTGAGGCCCGGGAAGGGCTAGAGACCCTGGGGGAGGGGGTCGGTGAGGCCCGCGATGTGCCTGAGGGCGCCAGGGCTAGAAGGGTGCGGCCCTGACTCCGCCTTCCCGCCGGCCCGGGCGGGGGCGAGTTAAAGGGGCGGGGTCGGCGCTGGCCCAGCCCGCGGCTCTCCCAGCAGTTCCCCGCGTCTGGCCCGGCCCAGCAGCAAGAGCAGCGCCATGGAGACCACCGGAGTGCTGCCGTTCGTGCGCGGTGTGGACCTCAGCGGCAACGACTTCAAGGTGAGCCCGGGACCCCCTCTAGGCGGTCTCTTCCGCTCCAGCCCGCACCGATCTCCGCTTCCTGTCCCGTCTGCCTCCGGGCCCAGTACCGCTCGAGGCTGCTGGCGGGGCCGGGTGGGGCTCCCCCAGGGCTCGGGTTCTCCGCCCCGAACAGATCCCCAAGACCTCTTCTTGGTGCCCGCACAGGAAGACCGAGGCCGGGTCGGGCCGGCGTGGACGCCTGGGTTCGAAGTCACACTAGGGTTGGGCTGAGAGCCCCCACCCCGTATCCTGGTCCTGGCGTCTGGGCCCCGCCCGGGCTGGAGTGGGGCAGGCGTCGTTGAGCTCTGCTCCCACCTCCCCAGGCCCCCTTCCCTGTCCCGCTGAGGTCACACGCCCAAGCCAGGCTCTGACTCACTGTTGCGCTGCAGGTTGTCGGGCTGTCCCCTGGCGGGTCTGGAACTCTTCACTGCCACTGCCTTGTCCCTGCCACGCCATCCCCATACTGTATGGTCTTGGGCAAGTCACTTCCTGTTTCAGAGCCTCATTCTTATCCAGTAAAGAGGCTCAAAAGTAGTCCTCTTGAAGGCATGGATTGGTTGGTATGGAGAGTGTGCCAAACAGTTGTGAGAGGCCCTTGGGTAGCCGTTGTTTGAGCAGCTTCTGGACTGATAGACCAGGGCTACAAGGAGCCTGAGTCCAGCCTTCCAGCCAGTTAGTGCGTGAGGTGGTTCTAGAGTCAAGGATGAGGAGAGGAGTGCCGGTGACCAGAGGAATCAGGGCAGGAGTGGAGGTGAGAGCTGGCCAGGCTGCAGAGTGGGTGGGTGGGTGGGCAGACTCAGGCTGGAGTCAGGTTAGTGTCATCCTGGGTCTACAAGGTCAGGGAACCCAGGCTTTGGCTGGGGTCGTCAGGCCAGGACTAAGGAGGCAGGCAGGTTCTTCCTGCATTTACCCACATGTGCACACACCTTTGACCCCATGCACAGGTGGCCACACCACTTCCTTTGCCTCCATCCCCACCATCCTCACCTGGGATCTCCACGTGTCTTCTTCAGACTGGGAGTCTGAGTCACTGGCAGGGAATGTGGCTATAGGGGGAAGGGGGACATCAGCCAAGGACATTTTAAAGGCACATGCTATCCCAGGCTCCCTGCCACAAGGGCTGGGGGTACTGAGGTGGGCATTTGAATGTGGGGAATGAATGGATAAACAAATGAACAAGTCAGTACCTGTGCAGGGTGGGGAGCTGGGGCCTTGCACAGGGGGGTCTGGGCCTTGCCACAAATGGCTTGTATGCTGATGGCAGGATGGGGGCACAGACAGAGCTCAGGGGGTGCCCTCACTTCAGGTGGCCCAGGCAGAGCCTGGAATGCTGGGCAAAGACATTTGAGCCAAGCTAACCACACAACTGGACACGGGGATGTTACCTGGAACAAGCCAGTTCCAGCCTAACCCTCCTGGGGCTCAGAATCGAGCAAGAGAGGCAGATCTTAGGCCAACAGCCATGCTGATAATTAGTTGGTCCTCACACTTTTGTCACGAGGGGGCTTTTATTAGCACTATTTTATGGATGAGGAAATCGAGGCACAGAGTGGCAAAATGACTTGTCCAGGGTCACACAGCTGGTGAGAGTTGGTTCTGTTGCTCCCCAAAGGCTTCCGTGGGCAGTTGGGGGCCATAGAGGGTGGTAGAGCAGGGACGTTCCTCTCCCAGACCAGCCTCACCATGACATACCCCCCAGGGAGGATACTTCCCTGAGAATGTCAAGGCCATGACCAGTCTGCGATGGCTGAAGCTGAACCGCACTGGCCTCTGCTATCTGCCAGAGGAGTTGGCTGCCCTGCAGAAGCTGGTAAGGGGCTTGCAGCAGGTAGTGTAGGTCCCTGTGGGTGGGGCTGGGCCGGGGGGCGGAGCCTGGGCAGAAAGCAGATGACACAGAGGAAGAGGCTGATAACCATGATCAGAGCTGGCAAAGAGGGAGGGAGCACCCTGTCCTGTGAGGTGTGCAAGAAGGCCAGGTCTGGGAGGGAGGAAGGGAGGCTGCAGGGGTGGACTGGGCCTGTGTGGCTGAGAGCCACTTGGATGATGCAAGACTGTAGTGGCAGATGGGGCCTCCACAGATACCCCACCCACTCCACTGTGCCTCTGCTCCTTGTCCTGGCCCAGGAGCACTTGTCTGTGAGCCACAACAACCTGACCACACTTCATGGGGAGCTGTCCAGTCTGCCATCACTTCGGGTGAGTGCTGCTGGAGGCCACCAAGCTTGGAGGTGGGGATTGGAGTCCAGCCAGAGGTGTGAGGGCCAGGCCAGACCCAAGCCACACTAGCACCTCTGCCTATCCCCGTGTCAGGCTCAGGGGCCTGTTCCTAAATGGGAGAGGATACAACAATGCCCTATGTTAAGGAACCCATGGGAGAAAAGGTAAAAAATCCAAAATCCCACTCTTTTTGGACAACTACAGTAACAACTAATAGTGGCTAAGCACTGTTCCACCTATTTCCACGTGGGTTCTTTCTTGTAATCCTGACTGCTACCAAGTTCCCAGATGAGGATGCTTGGCCACAGAGGCAGGTCACTTGCCAGAGGTCACATAGCCACACGTTGGTAGAGCCGGGGTGGTAGAGTGGGGCTTAGCCAGAAGGGGAGGTAGTCAGGGTGGTCTGCTCACCCTTCTGCTCTTCACAGAGCCTCTGACATCCCAGAATGTCAGGCTCTTGGCCAGACCCTTCAGGCCTCCACAGAGGTCATTCCCATCCATGGCCAGAGCCCTGAGATGTTAAGGCCACAGCCTCTGGCTTCAGGCTGCATGAGTTCACCTAAGTTCTGCCACTTCCTGGCTGCATGACCTCAGACAAGTCCCTTCTACTTTCTGATGAGGGTTCAGTGGGGGACCGCTGTGAAGGGCTGAAGGAGAGGCAGCGTCTGCCCTGAAGCCTGCTGTTACATGCCATCATGGCACCATTACCTGGCCTGTCTTCTCTCCCTCTTGAACTGTCTCTGGGTCTGTAGCATGAGAAGGTTTCAGTCCTAAGGGGAGAGCAAACAGACTTGCTCAGTCCATACTCTGATTTCCCTTTGGATCAGCCCTCGCCCTCTGTTCTAGAAGCCCTGTTTCAGAGCTACACTCCCATCTTGCCCTGTGGAATTGAGAAAAAGAGGGATTGTTCGATCAGAAAAGGTTTCCTGAGGACCCTGTGCTGCACTGTGGGGCACCTTTGAGCTGGGCTTTGAGGTGTGAATAGGAGCTCATAGGGAGGATAGGAAGAGTTCGCCAGGCGGAGGGACTATGAGTAAAGACCAGGGTGCGAGAGCATTTAGGCCTGTCCTCCAGTGAACTCCCTAAGGAGATGTCCCTCCCTGCTCTCTCTGCTTCTCCTGGGGGAGAAAGCCAGGTATCACAGACTCTCACGGTTGTTCCCCAGGCCATCGTGGCTCGAGCCAATAGCCTGAAGAATTCTGGAGTCCCTGATGACATCTTCAAGCTGGATGACCTCTCAGTCCTGGTCAGTGGTTACTCATCTACTATGATGGGCCCTGGAGCCATTGTCATCCCATTTTACAGATGAGGAAACCAAGGCTTAGAGTAGACAATGCCTTGTCCAAGGTTACTCATGGAGCCAGAGCCTTATTCTAGGCACCCTGCCTCCCAGGGTCCTGCTTGCCTCCCTTTGGCCCTGAAACCCCCTCATCTGCTCCCCTCTCCATGCCCTGGCTGATCCCCCAGCCTGGCAGAGAGCTGGGGAGGTGGGACCGGCGCTGACACCTCTGACCTGGCCTC